GAAACAGAAAATGAAGGGAAGAAAGGTGGAGCAATTTCAAGCGAACTATTATTATTCAGAAACTCCATAGCTAGACATGGAAATCGCTACGATCGATTCTGCAAGCAACAGCACTGCGCAGCTTCGAAGTTCAAATACCCTAATTTCTTTAACTTCTTCAAAGCTTGTGACGAGCTCTCAGACGAGGGCATGAGAGAAGGAATCCCCTGGGACCAAGGGATGGAGTTCGCTATACGTTACTCTTCAAATGGCAATACCACAAGCTTCCTACCTCAAAGAATGGCCTTGTATAAGGTGGTATCTTATACTTTCTCGAGAGGGGCGAAAATCTCTTCAAATTTTGTCTTCAACGGAGTTATCCCAGCTGAAAGTAAAGAGAATACTATCTCATTTCCTTAACCGAGGGGATAAACGAACCAAAAGAATCTACGACGCGAACCTCTAGCCACTATGAGTCTATCGAGGAGACACTGAGTGATGTCCATGCAAAAATCTCACGAATGAAGACCCTGCGATTTTTTTCCCTTTGATCTTGATGCCCAGGACTCATAGGCAAGGTCAACCATGCGTTGCGCAGATTTTAAAATCTTTACGACCCCCTTCCTTTCGGAGGGTATCATACACCCTTGTCTGCTATTCTGGCATTTTACACTTTCTACCCAACCAGGTCAAACCGTTACGTTGGACCGATATTGGAGCGACGTTGGACCGATGTTGACCGCTCTCCGCGCCGGCATTCACTCTCGCCACCCGCGAGCCGTCTGTGTCTCCGTGCGTACGTTCACTCTCGGCATTACTCTCGTCGTCGCGTTGGACTTTGTCCAACGGACGGTTGACCCTGGGCCCAACTTCGTATAATGTATGCTATACGAAGTTATGGTAATCCCCGCTCTTTGTCTCTGCGCTTATCACCAATTACTCCGTTTTCTTATATCTTTTTCCATTTTTGCAGATGCGTTTCTGAGAATAATGGAATTTGGACTGCCTAACCTACCGTTCCCTATAAGGAAGGATATGTCCTTCTCCTACATTGCCTATGTAGGAAGAGTCCATAGATGAGTGAGGTTTGAAAGCTGGAACTTTTTGGCTTCTACTGCGGCAAAACTGCAAGTGGTGCTTCCCATCAAACATTGCGTTGATGGGAAAATCATATCCAAACGCTGGAACAGCGCTAAGACGCGAGTTTTCTAATGGAAACAGCAAGCAAAGATAAGTAAAGAAGGCAAATCGCAAAAATCAATAAGCTAGGAACATGCAAAAATTATTGTGTAAGTGAATCTGCTTGGATTGCCATCCAGTTAAGCGTTTGAGCAGCTTATGTGTGTTGGCGCTCCTAAGCACTGAAATCCAACCTTCATTGCAGTCCCGCCCATCGTCCACTTGCCTTGTTCATCGTCCTTCCAATCGAAAGATGTCGGTGGGCCATGAGGAACAGCGCAGAACCCGAGCGACCCCTTTATAACCCGCTGATTTCCGCATTATTGCGACTTTTATAGGTGCTGCCGTCTTCAACGCTAATGCTCTCTCTCTCTCTGTTGAAAGGCTAGAGACCTACGGCGAGTGATTACCAGTCGGGAAGGGGGCGTGCCGCGCCAATAGCGCCGCGGGAAAGGCCGTGCTAGATCGCCGGGGGCATATCCTTCGCTGTGAGTCGGTCCGCACCCTCAGGGGGACCGCCCGCCTTCCCGATGGAAAGTTTCCCCTTCTTCGATCTTCGACCTTATCGTGGAATTCGCCTTTAATATTGGCAGTGCTCCTTCCATACCGCTAACATTTACTATAGTAACTGTTTAGCGGTTGCAATGCCCAAGGAGATTATTGAGCTGCAGAAACTCGGGAATCTTTCGAATCAGATTGCTCTTTTTCTCTTGATGAATGCTACACAACGATGTGCATCATGCTCGTCCTCTGTACAAACTACTTCGGGAAACGAAAAAAGAGTCGAGTGCAGACAACACACCACAAGTGACGACGGCTAAAAAAAGCCACTTTTCCTTGGCCGTCGTCACTTGTGGTGTGTGGTGTGCACTCGACGCTCTTCTCGTTTTCCGAAATAGACGGTACATTCAGCACATCCTAGCTCTGGTCGCCTTCAAATGTTTTTGGAGTGTCCTTCCACCGACCACGCAGTACCTTAGCAGGGAATTGCGGTAGATGCTGTGCATTGCGCCTTTTCTAAACTAACAAGGAAAGGCTCCCAGGTCGCCATGGCCATTCAAGAAGAGATGTATACCCTAGATGTGCCTTTGAACGCTGATCTCAAATCTACCTTCCAAATCTGCTAAACGATTCTCTGAATGGAGTTATGAAGCAAAACAGCGCAACGGTAGTGGTCGGGATTCACAGTCAAAACGTCGTAGGATCGGTCCCTTATCGTGTTTACTGTTTTCCATTCTTCAGGAATACAGCTAAACGGCTTTTAATAGCTATTTAGCTGAATTCCTGAAGAATGCAAAACAGTAAACGATAAGGGACCGATCCTACGACGTTTTGACTGTGAGTCCCGACCACTACCGTTGCGCTGTTTTGCTTCATAACTCCGTTCAGAGAATCGTTTAGCAGATTTGGAAGGTAGATTTGAGATCAGCGTTCAAGGCACATCTAGTGGTATACATCTCTTCTTGAATGGCCATGGCGACCTGGGAGCCTTTCCTTGTAAGCTTTCCTCTGACTTTAGAGTGGAGCACTTTAAGCGAGCTCAAGTAATAGGTGCCCTAGTCCCATGCAGAGAGTTGCATACGATCGGTTAATGTGGACAGCAAAAAGGAATAAGGGCTGGTTTATACTTCTCTCCGATGAGGTTTTCTGGAGATTGTATCTGTCTGGCTTGGCGTTGCTGGGGATTGCTCTTTTCAGAGACAGAGTGATTCGTAGAGATGCAACGTTCTAATTATTGTGTATTAGGGTCGTAATAACTTCGTATCAGAGAAGAGATATGGAGCAAAAATACCGATCCAAAGAGAACCCATGAAGAACTTTGACGCTAAAAATTAATAAATGGCCTACTCTACTGCTACGTATGTGAAGGAAAGGAGCATTGGCGGTCGGATCACTTGACGTGTTAGCACGCTACTTATGAATATTATATGTAGAGAAACTTCCCAGGCGTTCTTATACTGTAGGCCGTTGTCACATTATTCGCTGAACACGGAATATTATATGAGCTGAAAATTCCCGCTAAGTCCAAAATTTTGCCATCTGTTCAACGTGTGTCATAGTAAATACCATACAAGAAAATACGTCCGGCCGCTTAATAAGGAACAAAGGCAAAGAGACAAAAAAGAACGAACTGGTTCATCATTTCTATGTCGTTCGGAAAGTTTTCCTCCGAAGGGCTTCCCGTCAGGTCCCAGCAACAGCAGGGTGAAATAGAAAAATCGCTTGAGGAAACGACAACGGCTCGTCGAGGATTTCTTTCACGCTCTCCCACGCGGATGCTCACTCTCGCCACCGCGAGCCGTCTGTGCTCTCCGCGCATGCATTCACTCTCGACACTACTCTCGCACAGTAGAGAGCCATGGTCGAGGAATTCCTCGACCGTTATTCACCCTGCTCCGCTGATACATCCATAGACCGCAATGGTTTTTGAGGCCGGTTAGGTACCCCTAGAAGACAAAGCTAAATCTGCTTCAGATTTAGTTTTAGCGGTACCTTCTTCGATGAGATCATCGGACCAATCCTCGCACAAATAAGGTTGCAAATTGTCTCTTAACTGCGAGTTTCCGTCACAAACTGTCTGTTAACTGCGAGTTTCCGCCAACAAGTCAATAATACATGTTATTCCATAGTAATTACATTAATCATTTGAATAATTCTAATGAGAAAATCAACCAGTGAAACACAAGTTTCTGATTGAAGATATAATATAATAGAAAGAATGAATAAGACACTGAGACGCACACCCTTCTACGGCGGCCGCGAGCGAGATAACACGAAAAAAAATCAGAAAAAAAAGACAGAGCAAACGGGGACAGCGGGGAAAGTGAATTCGAACGGACTGCTCACAACGTAATCGATCAATGCAGCTGCCGGTAATCAATAGTAGTTTCATCGATCTATGGATCGATACGTGCACAAAGCTGCTAGTTTAGCTACCTACGACGAGAATAAGAACGATCGATTTGGATCGATCCATAGATCAATGATAAGGTGATAACAACGGTTTTGGCTGTTTATGTACGTGGCTTGAATGCAATACATAAAAATGCGCAAAATTGATGATTATGGGGCGTGGCCTGATCAATCATCGATCGGCGTACAAGATCAATAGGGAAAATGTCGACAATCAATGAGCATTGCGTCTAACTGCATGTAGGAAGGACCTAAGGCATATCGTAATGACGTCATCGAATCGCGTGAACGCTCATGGGACTGGCTCCGCCCCTTTGGGTGTAGCCACGCCCATGCGCGTCCACAATGCGAGTCAACTGCGTCTAGAATGAATAGAAACCTAATCGGCTATGACCTACAGTAAACCCAGCAACATAAGAAAATATGGATAGGCAGCTCGACAAGTACCTATGACGGGGAAAATCAATAAAATCAATATTGAAAACATACAAATAAATGAACAAAGTTTTCACATTCACAACCGTAATAGTATTTAGCAACAAGCTGTGCGATTATATGAACGAATAAAACTCTATTGGACCAAACGCAGCGCGAACGCGAATATCTGTGTGAATCAAGTAAAATCAGCAATAAAATCCGGAAAAAACGGTGGCGACGATGGTGACGAACGTATATAAATGTATATGTATGTATGTATAACCTCGACGCGAGAGGACTAACTCCTCCTGACTAGAGGATAAGACGAGCATAGGAGAAGAAGAGACGCAGAGAAACAGGAAACCGTGCATCATCACAGATAGGAGTGGTTATAATGGAAGGAAGTGTAAAGAAGGTGCGTAGAGGAAACGAATCGACAGTACAGTAATCTAAAAATCAGAGAAGAACTTCGACGGGGCCACACATAGGAACAGTTGTCCGAAGGCGGTCGGTCAGCAAATAGCGCAACAGCATGGTTTCTTGCCACGTCGTGAAGCGTCACCGTTCGGCCGAAGATCTTGCATTTCGGATGGACCTTTGCCTGAAGAGAATTGTTTGGCTTGTTTTTGTTTGTTGGTTGCGAGAAAGCGAGAGATGCGGGTTCTAGTCCTGCCTGGGGCGAAAGTTTTGCTCACATCCCAGCATTTTTGTGGAAGAAGGTTTGGATTTTGCTTTTGTATTATAAATGCATTCACGAAACAGTGGTCGTTAATTTTCCCCAGTTTCCCGTTCGTCACACCTCTGCACGCTAGGTACCCGACAACACGCCCGTCGCGCGGCGAGAAGGCAGAGACGCAGACGGGTCAGCGGACGAGTCGCAGCGCGTACTGTAGTGATTTCGCGTCAAGTTAAATAGAATGTACTATAGTACGTCCACATCACACAGCACGCGCTGCGACTCGTCCGCTGACCCGTCTGCGTCTCTGCCTTCTCGCCGCGCGACGGGCCTCCTGTCAGGTACCCTTACTTACGCAGTCCCGCCTTGCGACGCATGGAGAGTTTCAAAAAACGAGACTTCACACCCTCGAAGCACCGCCCTCTCATGAACTCCACTGGCCGCGAGTCATCATCTCGGAATGAGAGAAGTGGGCATCAATGAATATATATGCTGTAGGCATTCCGAAGAGGGGAAGACGGCGGCTAGCTTCCGAGCAGGGAAAAATTGTCGCAAGAGGCTGAAGTCAAACTCTTCATAAACTATGCCAGAATCAATATTGAGAGTTCATATTCAGCTAAAAGCTGACATTGATTTTTATGAAGAAAAACGCTAATGCTAGTGAGAATTCTGACGCAGAAAGTCAGAAATTTGGGAAGAATTTAGATATAAAAAAAAAAAAAAAAAAAAAAACAAAAAATAAACAAAAGAAAACTGTCGTGACTGAGAAGTTTTCGTGTAGTTCGCGAAGATGTGGGTGCACAATGAAGTGATAAGTAAAAATGATGCCCACCTTTTGCGCCTTTTTTTGGTCGTCGTCGTTGGCTACCGCCTCGTCTTGGCGTGCCTTCGTCATCCTCGTCGCCACCCGTCTCCAGCTTTCGCAGCCACTCATCAGGGCTCATCGGCTTAGGCTTGTTGCTTTGCTGCAAAGTAAGCAACATATTTCTTTCTGCTGTCCAAGAGCTATAAGGTGATGGCTGGGAAATTAACCTGGGGGGGGTATCAAGTATCGATATCACCTACCACTTCGCGATTGCCGTGCAACGCTGGCGGTAATGCATTGACATCGGAAGAGACGTCTTCTTTTGACCACGACCTAAAATGGTAAAATGAATCCAAGAAAATCAATAAGCACTCCTTTCCAAGGCTTGCTGAAATTTCTCGAAAAGTCCAAATTATCGCCAAATAGCCCATCGCTTTCTCAGGAAACGAACCGTATGATGTCAGCGCCTTCCTTCTGTGCTTCGATCCTCGCCGGGGCCAACCCACTTCGATCGCGTAACGAAAGACGTCGAATTGCGCCTCGAGCCGAGAAAGGATTGTCGCCACCGGTGGCAACTTGTTGCGGTGACTCGAACTTCTTCCGCCTGAAAATACCATGAATAGTTGGAATCACATATCAATCAATAGCCATCAAAAGCACAGTCGTACCGTCTGCTTTGTCGCCGACTATCGCGCACTCCGAATGCCATTCGCTTCTTGCGGGCTTCTTGTTGTTGCATCGTAGCGATAACGGCACGAGTGGTCTCGTCCTCGCATAAATCTACAAAATCATTGGTCAACTATTGAAAATGGAATTACACAATTGAAGCCAAAGAGCAGCTCTCTTCCTGGAAGATTGTCTGTTACAGAGTGCAAGGTTACAGAGTTTCAAATATTAGGTTCACACATGAGGTCAAGGACATTTCCTAATAAAAAAATGCAAGCAGAAAAAATGAGGTCCCAGTGGAGAATGGACCTTCCGCCACTTCCCTTTTCAGGAGACAAAAGGGAGCCGCATTTCAGAAAGCCTAGCAATGGAAATAATCCCCAATTTCTCTCTCTCTCATTTGTGATCATGGTAAGAGACAGTTGAGGAAAAAACTCGCTGACTGCAAGAAAGGGGCCATACAAAAGACGGCGAGAGAGAAGACTGAGCTTATTTCACCATCGAAAGGCGCGTGATGGACTGGACCTTGCCGCTCGCCCGAGTTGACCACTGCTTCCCGGTTCCCTTAGCCAAAACCTTGGGCCCAATGCCTTCCACTCATACAACCTGATCTGACTCGTCGTACCTACGGGATATTTCTCTGTGCTTCATGTCAGCATTATGGACGAATCTGATGGTCTACTCCTGCAGCACCCACATGTTCAACTCTGTGGCTGTTGCTGGAGTACCTACTCCCGGCGCTATCGCCTATGGCAGAATCGTCTAGAGTTCGGCTCAGGAGAGGGGGGGATCCAAAGGGAGGAACATTCTCACGCGCTGTCCCCCCCGCATGAGGATCACAGGTAACCGACAGCCAGTTAGGCCGTTTGAAGATAAATGTTATCAACCGTAGTTTCCAATAGCATCGCTACTTAGATGCCCCCTATTTGCAATAGCGCTCTTACTCACTTGGCCGCCCGAAACCTTTTCGTGTTACTTCAGATTTGCTCTTGTTCGGAGTTTGGTGATGTTCCCCAATTTCTCAATTAGTAAAGCGGACTCCCGTGATGAGAAGATTGCGGCGAGCCATCTGTCCATGCGGGTCAGCTCGAGTCAGTAAAAACTAAATAAAATCAAGCAAAATTCTCTCTACCTAAAGGTGCTTCACCGCTGCTCGTTTTGGCATTGATGTCGCCTCCATATTCACAAATTAACTCTACCAAGTCCGGCTGGGCCCAGCATGCAGCGGCATGCACCGGTTGCCAGAGGTCATTGTCTCTGAAATGTGAATTGATTCGTATAAAAAGGCTTGAGGCAATTTTTTTATATCCACTATTTTCAGCGCATTTGTCGTATAACTTCGTATAATGTATGCTATCGATCATTAGTTATCTGATTTGCATAAAATAGATAACTTATTCGTTGCAGCTGAACAATGTTATGTATACTTTTTTTTCGAAACGCACACACGCACCCTTCTCCTGAGGCATCGCACATCAATGTGTCCCAAGGAACGTCCATCCTGTCAATCTACACTTTAAATCTAAACTTCGAGGTGACTTGCACCTCACCCCAAGTGAGCAATGCACTTCCGTCTCTTGATAAGTGGATGTTCACCGACGATGCTGTAAGGCCTGTCTAGATGCATCTTGCACCGAGTTCTGAGTCTACGCAGCCCTAACCAGGACCATCAGTACGTATCGCTCAGAAGAATCCACGACGATCCGCTCCCTTTTTTAGACCGACCCGATATCCGCTTCTACACCTTTCTATGTCTATAGGCACTTCAAACACCTTACATATTCCCATCAATAATGGGGTCGCAGACTCAGAAGCACATCGATCGTGAGTTGGTAAAATACCAAGAGATTTATTAATTTTTTGAACATTGTAACTTCTGCGCCTTCATCACTTCAACACATAAAAAAACCCTCCTTCATCACTTCACAAAAAATCCTCTTTCCATATCTCCCAAAAATACAACATGAGTCCTAAAATTCCACCGTATTTGGATATGTCACAAATACGACCCCCTTATTACCCGTTAAGGATCCCTAATGGAACCCTCTTCTCTGCCTTCATGAAAGCGATTCAGTGAGAAAAAATCAACCTTAAAAATAAAGGTATAGAACTAGACCGAAATATTTAGCAACTAGGACGAAGATTTCGATTTCCGTCCATGTTGTGACTTTTACATAACCTTTTCTACTTTAAGGAGGAACAGGTGAAGAACAAAACCAACAAAACCAACCGTGAAGTCGCAGGCACTCCGCATCGCAACAGGAACGCGGCAACGTCGTAGTAACCGTTTGCAGCGGCTGTGTGCAACTGAAAATATGGACCTGTACCAAGAAGGATTTTCAGTGGTTCATTTAGAGGCAAGATCCGGAACTTCTGATTAAAATTAAGCCTTTTCCCAAGAAAAAACACTAAGATGTGTACAACTAGCGGGATGATTTGGCAGGCCGAAGAGCTAGGGCTCTAAAACGCAGCATTGGTCACGCAGAGCACCAGTGTCCCTAACTACAAATCAAAGCTATTTCGCTTTGCCACTACTGGAGAGGGGGACTTTATTTGGGCCCCTCACACTTCTCTTCTCCACTGTCACTTACCAGGAGGGTCCCTCAGGGGGTGCCAAGCCTTGTCAAAACGGTCTTTCGCATGATAAGGACACATACGGAACCACAGAACCATGGTGAATACCAGAAAAGGAGGTCCCTAGTTCGATTCCTCGTGGTGACAAATTTTTGCATTTCGAGTTGACGTTTCAAAATTCGCGCAAAATGGAGTTAGCATGAATAATGAGTACCATATTCATAATTAGGACCTTTACAGAGGCAACGGCCCCTTTAGTGTCACAGCTTTTTCACTAGTTTTTTAATCAAAGTCTACATATTTGTAAAGGTTTATTGGTGGTCGTAATTATGAATATGACACCACATTATTCAT